TGCAACTTGCAACAAATGGTGAAGGTGCGTTTCCATCAAAAAACAATTAAAACGAACGCTCGCAACAAAATAGCTGCGCGAAAAAAAGCTATTGTCACCGCCACTGTTTTCATATTCATGTGTTTTTAAAAGAGTATTTTGCAGTGGGTTGCAAACACTCTAAATTCCGTCTCTACCAATAAATAGTAGGTATATTGTTGTATTAGGAGTAGAAGCTTTACTTTTTTGTGCTGAAGCAGTAGGTTTGCGAGCCAAACGTAGTGAGGCTGGCAATACTGCTGAAGCACAAAAAAGTGCTTCTACTCCGTATGCAACACACTATTTTTTCTCCAAACGAATGGGGTAAGCTCGGGAGTAACTGAATGGTTGAGCGGCAGTAAAAGTACGAGCGGCACTACAAGTACTTTTGCTGCCGCTGGGGTTGCCAAGCAGCATAGAAATTAAATTTCTACCACCTCGACAGGTGTTAACCTGCTGGATTTGCCTACCAGTATAGAAATTAAATTTCTGACATCTTGACAGGGGTTAACAAAGTGACGTTTTTTTGACGTTTGGAGAAAAATAAATTTGTTCACAAACATTGCTGATAATGGGGTAGTATAACGAGGAATTATTTTGTTACCACAGCATTCCCCTCTCTCAAGAAAGCGTTTTCTTGGGTCTTCGGACCGGTGGAAGGGGAATCTGCTAGAACATGCTTCTTCTCTGTCCTTATTCCACTGAAGCCTTTGCCTATCAAATTGCCATCTCTTTTTCTAGAACTTACTTAAAAATTCACTATCACAGTCAAAATCGGGTATAGAGTCAGTTCTGGGGTAATTTACACGATCGGTTAAGTCTCTTTTGGTAATTGTCACTGCTTACACTGACTCACTGTCCCAGTGTTCACTTAGTGTCCATACACTTGTGTCCGCAGTAGTCCGCACTATTCTGCAATCGGATTTCACTTTGCAGTCCTCAAATTATATCTCACACCAATGTCACGGCTCTGGAAATCTACGCATGTAAGAAATTGCCTTGCCAACCGTGTATATACAGGGTGTCCGAAAAGGTTTTTACGATTTCTTTGTTATATTTCTCGAGAACCGTTAGGAGTGGGGGAATCTGAGCAGATGCAATACTGAGCGTGCATCTTGAAATTTCAGTAACCATGGAGCGATCCACAAAGCCGCAGCTGGCTTACTTTGTGAAAGCATTTTATGAGAGCAATCGTTCTTACATTCAAACTCGTCGCCTTTTTCGAGCACATTTCAATTTACACGGCATTAATCAAGCTCCGACACGTCCTTTATTTGGACACTGGGTTAGAAAATTTGAAGCAGAAGGCACAACAGTGAATAACCATATTGGCCGATCCAGAGCTGGTAGAAGTGTGGAAAATATCGGGCGTGTTCGAGAAGCAGTTAGGCGAACGCCTCGCCGTTCAATAAGGAAACAAGCAGCCTCATTGAATTTATCAAACTTTCGAAATTTCCGTGGATTCAATCAAAACACTTGGTTTCAGCATGACGGAGCGACTGCTCACACTGCAAATCTTTCCATGGGGATCATTCGAAGGATGTTTCCAGGCAAGCTCATATCGAAGAATGGTAACGTCAATTACCCCGCCAGAAGTCCTGATTTAACTCCCATGGATTTTTTTTTTTGTGGGGTTTCCCTAAATCATACGTTCAAATTCCTGCAAATTTGGATCAGTTGAAGCAAAGAATTTGCGACGAAATTCGAGCAATTCCATAAGAACTCTGCAACCACGTGTTTACCAACTTCAGAGGTCGTTTGGAGGAGACGATCCGCATGGAAGGGCAGCACCTCGACGGCATAATTTTTCATAAATAAAATTTCCACAGTTTATAGTTTATTTTTATTTATTTATTTTTTAAATAAATCTCAAACTTGATAAGTTATAATTTTTACAAACCGTAAAAACCTTTCCGGACACCCTGTACATATTGTAACGGAATGTGGCGCCCCCGTCATGGCGCAAAGAATCCTACCTATCAACCAAAATCGGAAAAAAAATATTTTTACCGAAAAATTCTCTGTACCAGTGCTAAATTTCGGGGGGGTTTTAACCCCCAAAACCCCCCCTTGGGTGCGCCACTGTTCACAAGAGCATGTCGTAGAGTACTACAGCAAAACCTTATCAAAGCCGGAACGAAATTATTGTGTTACCAGAAGAGAGTTGCTTGCCATAGTAAAAGCAGTCGACCATTTCCATAATTCCATAAGTATCTCGACGGACGTAAGTTTCTAATTCGAACAGATCACGCAGCTTAAAAATGGCTTTTGGAAATAAAAACTCCCAAAGGACAGCTTGCTAAATGGATTGAGAAATTGCAGCAATACGATTTCCAAATTAAACATCGACCTGGGAACTTGCATAAAAATGCTGACGCTCTGTCTAGACGGCTATGCAAAGAAGACTGCAAGTATTGTCAAATAATCGACATGCATGAGAAAAACACTGGTCCGGCTGTGAGAAGAACGGGTCTGATCGTTGATGATGAATGGACTACCAAACAAATGAGAGCAGATCAAGAAGCAGACCAGGACATCGGACAATTTCTCCACCTTAAAGAAAATGATGAATGATGAATGTAGGCCAGTGGAACTCTCTGGCCGTAGAAAACGGTTTACTGAAAAGAATTTGGGTAAGTGCCGATGGAAAATTTACTAAGAGCTAGCTGGTTTTCCAAAAGATCGAGTAGAAATTGTATTGAAAGAAATACATGACAGAACTTCAGGGGCACATTTTGGAGTTAACAAGACTTTGGACAAAATTCTGGAATGTTTTTACTGATGGGTTCACTATCATCAAGACGTTTAAAATATGGTGCCGAAAATGCGACATCGGTGCTACCAGTAAAGGCCCTAAATTAAGATCTCGGTGTCCCATGGCACAGTACAATGTCGGTCTCCCATTTGAAAAAATAGCAATAGATGTTGCCGGACCGTTCCCTGAGTCGGAGCGTGGTAACGAATACATCTTGGTTATCATGGATTACTTCAGTAAATGGCCAGAAGTTTTCGCTATTCCCAATCAAGAAGCCATCACGATTGCTCAGGTGCTAGTGGACGAAGTTTTCAGTCGTCATGTTGTGCCACTAGAGTTGCATTCAGGTCAGGGACGAAACTTCGAATTTGCCATCTTTAAGAAAATTTGTGAGATCATGGGCATTCGTAAGACAAGGATAATACCTTCGCGAAGAACCTGCGAGATTGGGACAAACGCTTGCCTCTATTATTAATGGCTTACAGAGCAGCTGTTCACGAGTCAGCAGGTGAAACTTCAGCTAGAATCGTTTTTGGAAGGGAACTCGGGTTACCTTGCGATCTGATGTTTGGAATACCTGAAGAAGAACGAAAAAAATTCGAGAATATACCGACGAAGTAAAGGCACGACTTCTGGGAATACACGATTTAGCTCGGGAGCATATTCGAGTAAGATGAAAGTGGTACATTTGGACAAATTGACGAAATATCATGGGTGCGAAGTTGATCGGGACGATCAACCTTAAGAGGGGGGCAGTGTGGCGCGTTCGCCAGCATGCACAGGATCTAACTAGGAATCTTGAAAATATTGGCTTTATTAGGGCAGTAAGGTTATCGCGTTTATTTTGGATTCTACACGAATAGATTGCGGATATATAAAGGCCGGTATTAGTTAGTAGTTTTAAGTTCAAGATTGGCTGTGATACGTTTTAGATAAGTGATTATTGTAAAAGTTGTAAAGAGTTAAGTTGTTTGAGTTAATTAGTTAAGTAATTAGTGTCAGAGTGTGTAGTAACGTGGAATAAATTATTGTTGTGTTAATTGGACTTTAATTTTGGAATAAACGAGCCCAAGATTTCTGTCACAAAAGCCAGAGCCGTGACAGATATTTTGACCATAATGCAACAATGTGGTCTTCTTTTTCGTCCATGACATCGTAGAGCAATACTGTATGTACTGGCCATCATCATTTGATTCCAGAAAATCACAAAGTTTGAAAATGCATCATGCTTGTTCGAAATGATTCCATCTGCAGAATCAAATGAAGAAAAATGAACAAATACCAAAACAAGAACAATGTTATGAGTCGTGTGTGAATATTAAAACCATCAAAAAAATCAATTTTTTCTATGAGTATTGAAAAATTTGCATAACATACATCAGTTTTCTATTGATCAATATGAGTGATAACTCATACAGTGAGTTGTTTTTCATTACTTAATTGTTTTCAACCAATGATAATATTCTAATCTCATTACACCACTATTTAAGAGCGAATCAGAAAATTCGGCAAGTTGGACAACATACTTCAACCTTCAAATCGGTCATTTTGACAGCTGATTTGGACAAGACTTGTACTAACCTAACCTCACTTTATCCTCTAGCTGTCCGAATTGTCAATTAATTTTGTTACGAAAATTGAATAAAAAACCGCATAACTCATGTCTGTTATCTATTAATCATAGAAAAAGTATTGTATTTCACTCGTGGGTAATGGCTATTACTCACTCGGATGATTACACTAGTCGCCTGCGGCTTGTAGTGCAAACTTCATCCGAGTGAGTAATAGCCATCATTACCCGCTCGTTGAATAATATACTATAACAGCATTGCCTGTCTTATCACCAACGTCTGTGAATCAGTCCAGTCGGAAAAGGACGCCATTTTGAGAGCGTGTAGGATTTCAGTTTCATGCTATAAGAAACCATTGTACGAAAAATCAGCCTCTTATCTCGCAATCATAGGTGAAAATCTATATTAACTGGGCACTCCAGAATTGAATATTAAATTCACCAATGAATAAGCACTCAGACTTGTTTATAATTAACGTTTAGGAACAAACTCTACATAACTTCACGATCATCAGTTTGATGAGATGGAAAGAATTCTAGTATTTCGTGTAGACAAATTTGGGTATTAAACAGCAAACGATAAGTTTAAATTATAGTATTAGTATTAGTATAATATAGTATAGTATAACATTTTATAATAACCAATTTTCTTTTTAGTTAGTGTCAGCAACAATCTTCTAATATACAGAACCTGTTACGTCCTTTTACATCACAACCGAACAGAATGTGCCATGTTAGGCTTCGTAAGCAATAACGAAACTCAACATTTGGAAGAATTAGTGGAACCTACTGCAACTTACATAACTTTAGTGAAAACCATTGTCGAATCGATATTTGGTTCCGTGTTATGTCTTTTCATTGCGCCATGGAGCGATCGCTTCGGTAGAAAACCGGTGTTGGTACTTGGATTTGTAGGTTGGTATTTTTTTGAATTTGGTTGAATTGAAATAAGCGCATTAAATGGTAAAATTAATTTAAACAACGCTATTGCCTAAATGTGGTTTCCATGAATCTCATATGTATAAAATATACCTAATCCAAGATGTCATTTTAGGTGGCGTAATATCCCTATTACTACACATCGTTTTTGCTGCCATCGATAACCTGACGCCATGGTTTTTGCTGGTTGTCACCATACCAGTCTTACTGACAGGTGGAGGTGCCAGCTTTGCGACAATCATGACCGCATACATAGCTGACATCACTTCTAAAGAAATTCGAGCAATGAGGTGAGATTTTTATTTTAATTCTGATCCCATTTGGTAAAAATCTAACTCTATGGAGCGTGGTCCATTCGTTTTATTAAAATTCATAGTATAATCATAGAATGTAGGGTGGGCCAATTTGGACCCTTCCAATACGAAGCGTCAATCTCTGAGCAAGATAGAAAAAAATGAACCCTCCACTCTTTCATATGAAAACTTCAAACTTCAATGGCGCAACCCCCATTTGGGTTTTTCAACTGTTTTTCCCTCAGCGGGCGTTTCTCGATTGAAAAGGTGGCACTAGAAAAACTATTCTGGAATCAATCCTTTTGATAAACAGAAACGTTATGAAGCTTTCACAGTATTGCTCAAAATCCTTGCTCAGAAATTGACGTTTTCCTTTAAAAAGTGTCCAAATTGGCCTACATTGTACACTTAACGCCTGTATATGGTTAAATTTTCAGAATGGGTTTATTTGATATTGCAATGGGTTTGGCAGTTTTGTTAGGCAACACTGCTAGTTCTTACTTACTTATAGCAACAAACTATGTCATTGTTTACTGTGTAGCAACGGCTTGTCACGTGGTGGGGCTGGTTTACACTATATTTTTTATACCAGAATCTTTAAGGCAGAGAGAAACGACTGTAAGTTTAATACAATAATTATTATTCGCAAGTATACATTAACAGTTTTTTTCCATTAAGAATCAAATATCTGGATTCTTTAGCCTATCAAACTTTGTCCAAATGGCTAAAACACCATTTAAACGAAGACAAGACTCTAATAGAGCCCTGCTTTTACTCATAATGAGCGCAATGCTGTTTGGATGTTTAACCATGGGGTCGGCGAATTTAAATTTCTACTTTCTCAGAGAGAAGCTTCATTGGACTTTGACGCAATTCACTTGGTTTGTGACTGTGAATAATTTATTGGGTATAGCAGGTAACAACTTCCAGAATGTTTTATATCCGTTTTAATATTTTTGATTTTAGGTAGCATAATTATTTTATATCTACTACACACAATGTTAAAAATTAAAGAATCCATACTCATATTTGTTGGAATAATTTTCTCCGTAGCTTCATTGATAACAATTGGGTTTGCTAAAAATGATTGGCAAATTTATTTGGGTAAGACATCGTTCTATCATTAGACATAGGTAATATAGTAGGTACTCTACGTTTTTAATAGTTGCTGGTATTGGAGTTTCTTCTTTACGTAATGAAATATTGGCCGAGAATTCTTCTTTTTATTAGCTTCTTCCGGAAAGGTAATGTTCGTGAAATTATAAAGACACTTCTCATCAATTTTGGGTAGTATCTCTTCAATCTCCCAAAATATGATGTTTCTTTCAACATTTAACACCAAGATCTCGAATTTGTATCTTGATATCTCATTTTCACTGATGAATGGGTTTTCATCTATTTGTAAAGAATAAACTATTTTAAATTATTATTGACTATATGTTTAGAAAAACCATTACATCTCCTACATTCCAGGAAGAATATTATTCTATTCTTCAATAGAGTTATTTTTGTGTATTATTCGTCCATTGTTAAAAAAAACTTCACAAGTCTTCTCTCTATTATACATTTCTGATGTTCTGAAATCTGAAATAGTTCATTCAAGTTCGACAAGGTGAACACCATACAAGATCTACATCTTTATATTAGGGCACCACAAGTACCTACCTACATATAATTACTAGTAATAATTTATTTTTATTTCACATTATTACTGAATATAACTAAACCCTTTTTTTTTCTAGGTTCAATAATAAATTTACCCAGTGCAGGGCAGAGCGCTTTAATGCGTGCCATGATCTCAAAATTGGTACTCGAAGAAGAAGTAGCCAAAGTACTATCAGCTTTCGGTATAGGTTCCAATATTCTAGGACCAATAAGCTCCATAGGATACACAGCCCTTTATAACGCTACAATTCAAAGTGACGCAGGATTTTTCAATTTTGTCACCGCTGCCATGCAGTTTTGTTCAGCTGTGATTTTCTTGTAATATTATTTTAGTAGCTTATTGATTAGTATTTATTTTGGCTGTTTTTCAGATTTGTTCTCCTAGTGCAAAGTAGACCTGCCCATTCAGAAGAAACACTTGAACAGGACGCAGATAGTTGTGGTGAACCTGAGAATTTAAACGCTAATTTAGTGGATTAGGAAATAGTATATCACATACCGAGGTGGAAACATTAATGAAACTTTTCACCGAGGTATGTATACTATTTTATTTACAATCATTCAAATTTCGTAATTTTTATTTGAATGAAAACTAAAAAAATATAGTAAATTTTAACAATTTCATTTACTTTCGGCCCACAGGAGGAAAGTAAAAGTCAAAAAAGTTACATTTTCAAACTTTTTGTAAGTCAGAAAAGTCAACATTACATGTATGATTGTAAATAAAAGTTATATTGCACTAGCACATTTAAAGTTTAGGAAGAAAAAAGGGGTTGGTTTATATTTCGTGCAAATTGTTCAATTGAGAATCAGTGCTACATAAGTAAGGGAAAGTCTCTGAAATTTTTTTCTCTATTCGCATAAAGTAATTTTTTTCTTATTTTAAATGCTTTTTTATTGGAAAGAAGCTATTTACTTACTTTGCCAGGTGTACAGTGTGGCCCAAATTCGAGCCTCATCATTGGGAATTTAGCATTCCACAATTATTAGTAATTTTTGATTTGAACGTATAGGTACCAATAAAAAAAAAGTGTAAAGCTCGGTGTAAAGTATTCGTGGATAACTGGTCTTTAAAACAATTGCTCTATTTCGTAAAGAATTTATCTGAATTTATTTTTTTACACATAGTTGATTGGTAGTAGAAAAAATTTTGTATGCAATACGTGCGTAAAGCACCTTTTTTCACTTTACACACTTGTTGCATAAATAACTATTTTCGAATAAATGCGATACATCATAGTTTTTGGAACATCAGAAGCTCTCAAAATCTGAAATAAAAAATCCAGGGTTGTATTTAAAAAAAATAAGTTGATGATGGTGGCCAAAAGACGAAACGTCAGATTTTAAATTTGATGGTAGCATCTTGTAGGGGAGAAAAAGTGGCTACGATGAAGTGATATTTTTTTCGAAATATCACTTCAAATAAAGTCAGGAAAAAATAAAAACCATTTTGCAAAATTTCGGTTTTTTTCTGGATATCTCCGGAAGTATTCGGAATATCCTGAATATCAAAGCGCCATTTTGTTGAGCATCAAAATGCGTAACTTTGCCATAATTTAACCGACCCTGTATCTCTTACGGTTTCCGAGATCCCAATGATGAGGCTCGAATTTGGGCCACCCTGTACAGTAATCAACTGAGTAAAAATAAATGAAATTAAACAATAGGGAACTTGCACATTAAATTAAATATGGAATAAATAATAAAACACAATAACAATCATTCTAATAAATCATGCAATTAGGAAAAAAATATAATATCTCATCTCTGGTGTCCAAAATCTTCAATTGAAAATACCAAATTATTCGCAATTCATGATGCGATCAAAAAAGTGTTTATATGGGTCGTGACGTCACAAGGCAGTAATAATCGGGTCGCGCGGCTGCCACCCCATGTGCTGCTGGTGTTGCCAATGTCAAATCTATCGTAAACGACATACATAACAACATAACCATAGTCTAAATCTACTTGCTCGAAGTTCGAAGTGCTCGTCACTGTCAACGGAATTTTGTTGCCGAGTGACGTCACACTAATCGGTCGTTTCAAATGGCGATATTTCGAGCGTAACTTCAAATATTTATAAAAAATTCACGGCTGAATATTAATTTATAAAAAATTCACGGCTGATTTTTAATGCTTGATATTTGGCATGACTAAGTCTTTAGTGTAGTAGAACACATTTTTGAAATAAAAAAAAATGTGCAAGTTCCCTATTACATCAGGAAAACAAATGGTTTCAAATTGTACAATTAAGCAAACATCAAATTTTTAATTGAATGAACTTTTTTTTTTTATTTTAAATTTTCCATAATTCCCGTTTTTAAGATTTTAAAAGCCGCACATTATTTTTCTGTTGATTTTTGTATGGGATTATAGCTTGGTTTTCATGAAGTCTTGTTCAGAAAAAAACCAACTAATTTTTTCTCCCTGAAATAAGTTAGTTTAGCGCATATAATGGGCGTTAAAAATTGACGTTTTCGCAGTAGTTTCTATTTTTATAAGTGCGACAATGCAAAATATTGAACAGATAATCTGTGATTGTTTAGTATGTGATATTAGGAGAAAATTGTAGGTAGGTTTCTATGTAATATATTTTATATATTTGGACTATGTGTTTTTTTTTACCCGCGGCTACATAATATGTGGTATATACGGTGTGACATAGAAATTGCAACACCCAGTAAATGTGAATATATTTTATTGATATTTTGGGAACTGGTTAGGATAAATATGAATAAAAATCGATGACATTTGCAAATAAATTTATTGAAAGGAATTCTTAACAATTCAATAGTGAGTTGCGCCTCCACGTGAGTTTTGACATTCTGTAACTCTTCGTGGCATTGCTGCAAATCAGATGATCGATATATGCCTGTGGTAGGTTCTCCCAGACTAATATTACCTCATGACGTAGACGTTCTACATCCAGTAGAAGATGTGGCAACTACCCCAGCCTTCTACCTATCACATCTCAGACATGTTCAATAGGCGGTAAGTCTGGTAACTGCAGCGGCATGTGAACTCGCATCGTCTTGTTGGATCTTGCAGTTGCTGAAGGTAGGGCAAAGCGACAGGTTGTAATACGTTATTAATGTAGGATTGAGCGTTCATGTTTCTATCCAATAAAACTAGAGGTAACCTGCTTCCAACTGCTATGGCACTCCAAGCCCTAACGCCCCTAGTAAGCGCAGTCTCACACTCCATGTGAAATTAAAGTTGTTGCCTTTCTCCACGTCTGCGATGGACTCTTCTACGTCGCCCTACTTTCAGCAAGATTCAATTTTTCAACAAGACAATGCCGCTGCAGTTACTAGAAACTTCCTCTAACAAGCTAATGTAACCCTTCGTTCATGCCCGCAATGTCACCAGACTTATCGCCTATTGTATTTCATCTACTAGATGTACAACGTCGACGTCATGAGGTAAGATTAGCATAGGAGATATCGAACATCTGATTCGCAGCATGCCACGAAGAGTTACAGAATTTTGAAATTTACGTAGTGGCGCAACTGACTATTGAAATATTAAGAATTCCTTTCAATAAATTTGTTTGAAAATGTCATCAATTGTTATTCATATTTATCCTAGCTACTTCCCAAAATATTTTTAAAACATATTTACATTTACTGGGTGTTGCAGTTTCTGTGTCACTCACTATATATGCTCCTAAAGAAAGCCAAGAGTTCTTTTCGACAATAAGGGCAGAAGGGAAACTCAATGATCCTCCAAGATCATCTTCCTTCGACACACGAATTGCTGTTGCTATCTTGACAAGAAGGAAAAGTTGGCGGTAGCCGCTTATTGTTGTGGACCATCAGCTTTTTTCAAACGTTTTTATTCTTTTTTTCTTCCTCAAGGATACTGTTGTTCGTTCGGCGATCCTGCTAATGAATTCTTATTAGGCAGCGTTGATGTTTTTTTTTTTTTTTGAAAGCATTTCAAAATGGCCCAGGCTTCACATCTATATTGGTAGGAGAGGAATGAACTTTGTTGAAGACGTCAGTATCCCCGAGGGGCTCTCTGTTCGAAAGTTCCTGAAAATGTTCTTTCCATCAGAACCTGATAGAAGCCGGATATTTGAGAACCTGATTTCCATCTTTGGATCTTAAGGGATTTGCACCTTTAGTAGAGGAGCCATAAATTACTTTTGTAGCGCTAAGAAGTCTCTGGTGAGGTTAAAGGATGCTAACTATTCCATTTCGATTGATTTTGTTGAATACCATATTCGCTTCTCAGCATTCGCCTTTTTTCTTGTAGATTATCAAAGCAATTTTGATATTTCCTGTTGATAGTCGATAGAGCACTGACTTCCAGCAGGCCATCAGCATAGTTGTTGTAAAGCATTGACCATTCGAGATGTTTAGCAGAGCAAAATTTCTCGTTCATCAGGATCTGGAAGTATGTTTTGGTATCTTTATCTTTTAGGCGTTAGGTTACTTGTAAAGAAATTACATTATGTGTGATGATGAGATCCTGCTCTAAGCATTTGGTCAAATGGTAATTTTTTAGTAACATTAGTGCGGTAGAAGGTTTTTCCACGGAACTTTATATTTTTTGAGGTGCTGAATACGAATATGAAGTTTGCTGCCTCTTAGCAGAACCGGCTCAGGCCGAAAATCCCGAAAAACCTCGAAATTTTCGGACTTTTTCCGGTTTTTGGGTAATATCTTGCAAACGACGCGTCGTACGAAAAATGTCACAGTATTCAAAGTTGAAGAGCATAAAATTCTGCGTAGGATAAAGGATAACTGCCTTAACCTTGTTACTGTTGAATTTATAAGCTTGCCATCGTCGGTCGAAGAAAGCCAGCGTTCGAACACGAAAATCGTTTAGGAAATGAAGTAGGTGGCAGGGAGCTCCAGAGGTAAGTAGTACGCCTCCAAAAAAGCCCTATATTTAGAGGTCCTCGGGGTTGTCAACAATACCATATACGGATGAGATGCCCTGTGGTTCTTACATAACTTCTTCAAGCTGAAATGAGGGTGGTCAGATCGCAGATCGTCAGAGCATCTCCCATGGTAATAACGGTAGCATTGGCGTATCCAGGATTTTGGTTTAGGGGGGGCTGTGCTAACAAAAAGTGCTGATAAAAAAAATGTTTGGAGCCACGCCCAATTTTTGTAAGCAATTTACCTGTAACATACCCAAACGTTAGGCGACTATTCTTATTTGCGGGGCTATAATAGTAAGTTTTTGTGCGACCAGCCATCAAATAGGTGGCATTTTGTGGCCCTGCAGGCCGAAAAGTATCAAATTTCGTCCTCAACTCCGGGCGGAAGTAGGTCCTATGCGACCCTGTAGTAGATAATAGTTATTTATGTATCAAGGGTACTAAGTAAATGATTATGCCCTGAGGGCGACAGTCTTACAAAGGTTCGTAAGTCGCCCAAGAGTATATATATATATATATAAACAATGGGAGTTTCTTGGGGTATCGGTCGTCTTGAAGGGCTAGGAAATAAAAATCTCTTTTTCCACTAAGCCGAGCTTTCGGCAATTATTTATTGCCTTCGTCAGGGCTACAACAATATAAAAGATCTTATTATTATGAATAATCAAAACTATGACTAGGACATATAAATTTTTAACTATAACTTACTTGCAAAGTGAGAATTTTATAGTCGAAAAGCTTTCAAATTGTCGGAAAATTGTTGTTATTCTATTTTGACTATCAAACTGTACAGAATATAAATGTTAAAAATATGGAAAAATAATTAATAAACAATAATTGATAGATATAAGAAAAATAGAAGAGATAGAAGAATATGTAGAATAAAATTTTGGAGTGTATAAATACTAGTTTCTCATAGACATTGATTTTTGGTGTCATCACTAGACCAGTTAGGTAATTTTAGGAATAAATTTTTTTTTTTTTTTTTTTTTTTTTTTTTTTTTTTTTGGCTTTGAGCATAGCTCACTTAGCCACGAAAACATAATTCAAAAGTTCAAACTTTAGCTAACGATTCACCCAACGATATACAGATAAAAAAAAGGAACGAATCTAGCAAAAAGGATAAACACATGGACACACGCTTCTCGTCCTGGGGTCTATGCAGGATATTTTTAAACTTTAACAAAACACAGGTGGACCCGGTTAGGAAGGATGTAACATATAAGGAAAAAAAAACATAGGAATCGAAACAATCTCTAATTATCTTTCAAATAAGGACTTTACATAATTTTAAGTAATTAATAAATATATTTTCCAAGTTATCATCTGATAAAATAAGCTTAATTAAACCCTTGTGGTTCATAGGTATGAGATGGAGTTTTTCCAATTCTCTTCTTAAGAATGAAGTTGCCAATTCATTGTGTCTACAACTAAATAATCTATGATTCAAATCATCTTCAGATTGGTTATCACAAAAGCATCGCGTGTTCTCGCATAACTTAAGCTTATACATGTGTTTATTAAAATTTCCATGCCCAACTAAAAATCTGAAATAGGAAACAAACACATTTCTGGAGAGTTTAAAACGTTCCATTAGTGGCTTTTTATTCAATCTAGGATAAAAGGAGTTATACAAATTAGAGGAGTTAACTGCCATTGCAATATAATTACTGCGCCAAACTTCCCAAGATCTTTTTTTGATTATTTCGAAAAAGTCCGAATATGGAGTAATTTCCAGGATCTCTTCTGATACGATCGCCTCTCTTGCTGCATTGTCAACCAATTCGCTGCCTTTGAGACCTGTATGTCCCTTAACCCATACAAACTTGACAGAAATATTTTTAGAGCACAAAACAGAGAATACCTCCAATACTTTGGCTATAATAAGATTCTTACAATTCATCGCATTTTTGAGAGACTTCAAAACTGACTGAGAATCAGAGAGAACAATAGCTTTGAAAATATTTCCCTTTGACAATATATGATCTAATGCTTTCAATATTGCTAGTGCTTCGGCAGTGAAGATAGATGCATTATTTTCACATTTGTATTTTTTAACATAATTCAATTCAGGTATAGCAATTGCACATCCTACTCCTGAACTATTTTTAGCCCCATCGGTATATATTTGAAGATAATTTTCATTCTTGCTTAAGACTCCCCTTAAATGGATAGAATTTACTGAGGGCAACTCCGAAAAATTCGGAAATAGAATTTCAGGTTTGAGATATATCAAATCAGATGGAAATTGAAATAGTATATATTTGTCTTGTTTTGTTATAATGTTATGAAATTCTGATGTATTTACAAATGCATCCGCTAAAACAGGACTTTTCTTATTTCTCCAGTATGACTGAGTTAGATTAGAAATATTCAAGATAGAAATTTTATTAAGCAACGAGTTATGTACGTATTGAACATTTTTAAGAATAAATTTTTCTGCTAGAATTTTTCGTCTTATTTCTAATGGAACTTCATTACATTCAGAAAGTAGAGCCTGGATTGGGGTAGAGCTAAAAGCACCTGTTACAAGTCTTAGAGCTTTGTATTGCAGCCTATCGACTTTAACAAGTCGGGATTTGCAGGCAGAACCATAAAACATAGCGCCAATATCCAAAATTGATCTTGTAAAAGCTTTATATAACATTAAGCAAACTTGGGGATCGGATCCCCATGACCTAGATATTACTGCTCTCATAATATTAAGACTTTTTTC